AAAAAATGAGTTAAATTATACGAAAAAAAAAAAAAAAAAAAAAAAAAAAAAAAATCAATTCCTGGTTGTCCTCCCATGTGCCATCTCAGGAACCCAATTTTGTTACTGAATATTTGCAGTCAGAAACTATTGGAGATGTACTTCAAATCATGCAAGGATCTACCAGTAGATCCCAGTCTACCTTCTATCCACTCCTATGTTGAAGCCCTAAAACAAGAAGCCTTCAGAAGAATTTGGTACAAGAAAAGGTTTTTAAAAAGTCCTATCTCAAGAAGATGACTAGACTACAAATATCAATGTTGGGACAGCATATTGCTTCTCCAGCTTTCAGATTACAGATCAGTCTTAAGCATACTGCTAAGAAAAACAGAATGTCAAAATTATACTGATAACAGTGGGGTATATTTAAGACTACAATCCTATATATGTTTAAATAGAAAAAAGGTTTTTTCCCAACATGCACAAAAGCATTTTTCAACATGCAAAAAAATCACATGCCCTGTCACACTGAAGACAATTAATCCTCTGTTTTATTTAAAACCATATATTAACTTTGTTATGCTCTTTACTTTTAAATATGGAATTCTGCCAGTTATCAGAAGAGATTGGCAGTCTAGATTAATCCAACAACTCTTTCCCAAACAGTCACAGAACTGTCCACATCAATTACATCCCTAAACAAGTTGACCCATCCTCAGAAGGTAGCATTCCAGAAGTCAGGACATGAAAAATCTAATTTGTAACTTATAACCCATTTAACAAGGTCTCACCAATTATCTCTTAAAAGACAACGTATGCTGCACCATATAAAGGAAAACATAGTTTCTGGAGAAACCCAGTTGTGTTTAACAATGTTTTAACAGGTGGGCAAACCTGTAGATGAGAACAATTTGCAAGCTACATTAACTTAGAATCCTAGTATTAAAAAACAAAATCCATGTTCATACACACTAAGAAATTAACGAGTCAGGCAGCAGTAGGAAAGCTCAGTTGTAGGATTCAGGCACATCAATGCCATCAAGAAACAAAGGAGAAATGGCAAAAAAGGATCCTTAAACAGAAAATACATCCACAGCCAACCCTTCATAGGATCACATAAATTTTAAGTAATGTTTTAAGTAATGCCTAGATCCACACATCTAATTGCAGCTCCATTACTGCCCATGCGGTCCTTATGCACTGTCCAGGGTGGCGGTAACATTCATCACAAAGAAATTGAACAAAATCCTTATTCAATTAAGGCTTGAAAGCTGGTTGCAGAAGTATTACCTTTGGCAAGAAAGATTCATATAGTATTTTCCATTGACACCTGTACACAGGATCTTAAGATATCCTAATAAGATGGCAAGAGACATAGTCAGAGTCTGTTTTCTCAGTAGTTTGTTCACCAAAAGTAAACAAGGCAATAAATCAGCATTTTATGTGTATTATTTCAGAATTTAAGTTCTTCCACTAAAGGAAAAGTCCCTATGCACAGAAAAATGAACATCAGAGCAAGGGTTCTTGCCTAAGCCTTCTTCCTAATGTTTGTTCTCCACAGTAAACTTTTTTCATGGGGCAGGTTCCACCATGTGATCCAACAGAATGAGGCTGAGATCACCTAATGCCACTGATGATCAGATTGTATTATATCATTTATAAAATTAATACAGCTACCAGCTGCCTTCTAGCTCCAGAAACATGGCTTGTTGGCACCATATAGCTGGCTACTCACATTAGAAATACATTAGGGATTTTTGCTTGAGTTTTTGTTCTTCCTTCAAGCCAGCTAGTTGTAAGAGGGCAGTGATGTCCAACCAATTCTCCTTGTCCAGGGTTGGTAAAGTCCTGCACTGCATTTATAGCTTCCATATTCAGTAGGTGAGGCTTCTTGATTTGGAGGAAGGAAGGAAGAAAGATACTGGACAATCAGCAAGACCACTAAAATACATTTTGTTGAAGCTGTATCATTTGATTCCAGAAATACACTTCTGTTGACTGAGCAGGTGCCAGAAAATTAAGAGGTTACCCAAGTTATGATTATTTATCAAGGGACTGAAAAAATCTAATTCCACCCAGTAAGTTAAATAGAAGAATTCATGCAAGCATTCATGTTAAACAACCTTCTGACTTATTCATGTTAAGCTCTTTACCAAATCAATTAAGGGAGTTTAAAAAGCTTTTTCCCCACCATGAAAAAAGCTCCACTTTAACACTAGCATTATTAAACAGTTTGCAGTGCTCTTCGCATTTAAATTATACGATACCTCGATACGATACCTCTGACTATGCTGTCAAAGCCTTTTCTATTCAATGCCCAGACTTTCAAGTTGTTCTTGATTTTTCCAACACCTTCATGTATTAAATCTATTGTGCAAATGTAGCTGTACATATAGAGATCTCAGGGTGGAGGAAGAAAACAGAAAAAAATCTTTGGAACTGCTGGATTTTAACACCACCAAATCAGAATTGCATTTTACCAACTGATAGTGGGGGCAGGAGGCATGAGCTTAGCCATTTACTGCCAAAAAAAATCAAGTATGGTAGAATAATTTCATAAGTTCAATAATTTATTTTTTAACTTATATTCCATGACCAAAAGTCCAAAAAGGACTCTCTAGGTGGATAATGTTCTCTGAAAGTTTAAAAATAATTTTTCTTTCCTCTTTTGGTCAGACCATCCAGTTACTTCAATGAGACAGTGGCAGACATTTGGGAGCACAGAAACATAAAAAGGAAGTCTACAAAGTTGCTGCAGAAGTGGAAAAAACACACAAAAACTGTTCTTGTTTTGAAACTGAAGTAGGAAAATGGCAAGAGAATACAGGAAAATGGAAAGCAAACTATTAGAAGCATGTTGCATTGCACAGTCAGAAGAACCGAAGTGCCCATGTGTACTTCAAATGTCAACCGGTCTGCCACTCTCTCAAGAAGGGAGTGCTTCTATATCATCTTATGCAATACAGGCTATATATACATATATTCCTTACCAACCTCTTCCCATAACTCTTAACATTTTTTTTTCTTTTTTAACATAAAAGGCTGCAGTCCTGAAGGCACAAGACAGTCTCATTGAACTTACTGAGACTTTCTAAGTAAACATACCTAGGATTGCACAGTAATAAACATTTCTGTATGCATTCACTTGGCAATAAGACCTACTGATCCCTGTGGGATTTACTTCTGAGTAAACATGCACAAGAACTGAGCTCAGGTTTTTTTGAGCAGGTTTGAAGCACTAGCATCAACACAACATTTAAGATGGAATCCTATGCATGTTTAGAAGGAAAAAAAAGTCCTACAGTTCCCAACCAGCAGTGCTATCTGGGGAATGCTGGGAATTGTAGGACATATGTCTATACAGGCATAGGTTTGCAGTGCTCTTAGTCTGCAATCCTATATATACTAACCTGGAGCAAATCCTACTGAATGCACAAGGAGTTGCTTCTGAGTAGACATGGACAGAACTGCACTGTGAAGCAGTAAGTATCTCAAGCAATACTATCCAAGACAGCTCCTTTCACTATGATGAATTCAGATCACTCCTTTTATTTCTGTGGTGCCAATTATGAGAGGGAAAGAAGCGTGGAGGAGGAGGAATAAACATAGACATTTTGCACTAAATTCAGTCCTGAGCCAACAAACTGAAGTACCGTAACCATACTAGCCTCTCAGAAAGTGAGGGTTGACTTACACCAATTGTAAAACAGCAAAAAAGAAAAGGCTAACGGCAGCGCTGTAGAGGAAGGAGCTATGTTGTATAATCATCCCAGAAGCAGCAACGGAAAACATGCAGCGAGAGGCTCGGAGCCCGTCAACCTGCACCTCCAGCCCTGGAGCAGCGAGGCTGCTTCCTCCAACTCCGCAACAACCGGGCACTGGATGCCTGCGAGCGTGGCAAGCTCCGAAGCCGCACCAAGCAGTGCCTCTAGTGAGGAACGCGTCTCCCTCCCTCTCCCCGCACCTCCCCAAGGCCAAAGAAGTTTTAACTTCTGCTGTTACCGGAGCTCCTTCCTCCCGCTGCCTCTCTTTGACAGCCGGGCACCCCCAGCGCCAGCCCCGCACCCTCGCGGCCGCCGCCCCCGCAAGCGTGGCACGCCAAAAGCCCCCGGACAACTTGCCTCCCGCCCCGGCGCGTCCTTCAGGAAACGCCCCCGGAGCAGAAGCCGTCCCCACGAACCCAGCACTCACCAAGGGGGAGGCGACCACCAGGAGCGGCAAGAGCAGCATTCTCCCTCCGAAGCCCTGAGTCCTCCCACAGCTGCGCCCAAGCAGAGCCGTACGAGCCCGGCCAGCTCTTACTCCCGCTCGCGCTGAAAGAACGAGCCGCCACCGCTGCCGCCACCGCTGCTGCCACGTCTGGCTAGGCATGCGCAATCCATGGGGGAAAAATCCGGCTGTACTGGAGCGGAGTAGAGAGCCGTGTGGTGCATGCTGGGGGGTGTAGTTTCTCCTGCGTGGGCGGCTCGGCGGTTGAACAGGGCAGGGAAACAGGTGGCAAGCGGAGTTAGAGGGCCCACGCGCTTTCTCCGGTTCATCGTTCTGTCGCACGAGAAAAGGAGGTACGAGGAGTGGAAAGATGTCCGCAGCAGTGAGTGATGGATGCACTGCGAAATCTCCAGTCCAAGCCTCAGCTCAACTGGCAGTCCTTTTAAACAACCATTTCGGTAGTGCAGGAAGGCATTGACGCCTTTTGCTTCTGCGAGGTATAGTTCATCTTATTAAGGGCATTTTTTCCCTTCCCTTCACGGTCTGTAAATAATAAACACTGGGTTTTAAATCAGGACTATATGTAAACATCTATGGTGAGTTTTTGTATATGTTTCTCTTTGTATAAAGAGAATGTATTCTTTACACTTTCAAAATTATAGTAAGAATAGCAATTCTTGGGCTTGTATTTTCACAGAATTACTGTGAATTATGCCAACCTGACAGGTATTGATTTGCTTACTTATTCCTTTGGCACATTATAGATCCAGCAATCCCATAAAAGGGGCACCAAATGGATTTGTTTTTTAAAGTGACTTTATCAAACATGCATGGCACCTGTCACTGATCTGTAAAAGCTATTCTATCCACCATAAGCCACAGAACAAACTACCTCTCACACAGTCCAGCAACAGGCACCCCACAGCTCCATTAAGTAAAAACCAGGAAAAACAAGCACTAAATTGCCCCAGAACAATATTTCTATTATTTGTTTGTATGCTACTTATAAGAGTTCTGAAGTCTTGAAAAGGCAGTTTAGAAATCTGTTAATACATGAACTAATCATTGTACCTAGCCATCAACTGCTACATCAGCTAAGGCAAGCCTGATATGGGCTGTTATGTCTACAGATCAGTCACCAGTGGTACATTACCATTTGGGTCCTGTGATTGTCAAAGCGATGAACCAAAGTCATGATGCTACTTTTTACTACATGGGTAATTTGGAAAAATAAGATGACTTCATATGTACTACAGAATAGCTTCACTTCAGCTTTGATTGTGTCTTGAGAACCATTAACAATTTCATGTAAACAAATGAAACCCAGCCTGTCCAGAATCAATTTGTGCAAACTTCATTTTGATCATTATATTTGAAGGATTATCACATCTGAGATAATTAATTGGTACATTTGCCAAACCATATGCATACAGAGAGCAAGTTTGCTGTCTGGCTTGGCTAGTTATCTCTAATAGAAATCCTAATGTCTAGGGAAGTGATTGAGTTTATAATGTATCCTAATTGTTCACTGCATAATCAGAACATTTCTTAAGCTGAATCCAAATCATCTGAAAAATGAAGCCTGGAAATCTAACCTACTTCGAGTGACATCACAATGGTCAGTTCACATATTATTGGAGGTGCTCACAGGGGAATTATTTTGAACTCACAGAGGAGTTATTGATAGGAATTCTATCTATGTGGGCATCATAATATGTGATCTGAAAGAACCCACAGATCTTAGCATTTTGGAACCTGAGGAATATAGCAGGTGCTATAGCAGAGGTCCATGTGATTCCAGATGTCACGTTATACCCATTCTATAATGTAGTAACCAAAAACAAACCATTGTCTACAAGAAATGGCTTGAAGTAGTACCTGAATCAGCCCAAGGAAATCAAGCATAATTCACAGGACATTTATTGATAAGCATCAATAGAAAATTGTCCTTCATAATCCTTATTTGGATATTAGAGCAAAGATCACAGTTGCTGCTGCTTGTTAGTACACATGCCCAATTTAAAAATATGCATTTCTCTAACCACTGCCCAATATCAATATTGGAAATACAAGAAGAGAAGCTTCCCACCATCTGCACAAATGACTCTTCTTCCACAATCAGCAAATAGAATCACCTGGGAACTCCTTGTGACTTTTAAATGGGTTTCTATTCAGATTATAGAGACACAATTATCCCAGCCTATATGCACTCTTCGGGTTTCACTTAGATTTCTGAACCTTGGGTGATGGTCAGAACTCTTCTTTGATTCCTTTGTGTCAAACCGCTTACATCTTCAGATGCTCTATAGTACAGTCACTGTTCCTGAAGAATGCAAAAGCAACCTCAGTATAAAAATTTTGCCAAGCTATGTCGGCAGGATGTCTTTTATCAGAGTGGAAAGAAGAAATACTCCCTGAAATAGTGAAAAGGCAGAATGGGAGCCTCTTTCAACAGAAGAGTGGCTTACTTTGCATTGAAATGTAAGGCGGCTGCATCTGCAAAGAGGAACAAAATCACATGATGTTTTGACAGTGTTCCTGCTGTAATGCTACCTAGCTTTTATACAGTCATTTTCATCTAGAGAGTTAAAAATGATTCAGATAGAATATAATTATTATAATCCTTTTGCAGGTTGGAAAGGAACTACAGCAACTCCTTGCCAAAAACGACTCAGCAAATCAATTGAAAAGGTAGCTTTGTTGAATCACAGCCCAGGATCAATCCAGGCAGACACATTAGCTTTCTTTTCGATGTCTTGTCCGGGTAGCTGCACTTCATAATAACTTAGCCTACTTTACCTGCCTTCATTATTTGACTTCACTTTTGTTCTCACAGCAAGCATGAGAAGTTGGTTATAACAAAGTGCATTCTCTTTTTGTCAGATTTCTAAAGATTCCAGGCTTTTTATGATTAACTAGCAAAATGGCCTCCAAATAGTTGGGATCTGTATGGCAATGTTAAAATAGGGTGTTGTTCAGCAGATTGGTAAGGCAAGGCAAGCCTAAGTGAGGAAGTGTCTTCAGGCAACAAATGCTGGAAAGTGGCAGCAAAGTGTAGGAGGGGACACCTCCTACACTTTGCTGCTACCTTCAGGTAGCAGCATCTGTCCCATGATAAATATTAAAGATGAGAGTTTTGTACATCAGGAGAGGATAAAAAGTAGATTTTGAAAACAGACTCCTGGGATTCCTGATAATTGGCCATGCTAGCAGGAGCTTGTGGAAACTGAAGGCCAAAACCAAAGTATCTGGAGAGCTACCTTCTGCCCATGTTGTACATAGAACAGGAGGTGGACTATTGTGTTCTTTGCCTCAAGAACTCAGCTTTTTTTTCATTGCCAGTTTGTTTTTGCAGAGGTCAGATCCACGTTTGGGGTGCCCTGCTTGCCACTTCAAATGTCTTGGACATGAATCCCCAGAAGCCCTGCCAACACTGTGGTCAAAAATGCTTGGAGTTGAACTCAAAAACATCTACTTTCTGTCCAGCCCTGCCCTGCCCACTTTGCTCTGTTGCTTAGTCTGTACCTTTTTCTTAGCTGCCTTCTTCACATCAGTCTTTTCCAAATGTAAGCATCCCTCTAGCCATGATAGCAAAAGGTTCATCAAATGCTCCAATCCTGAAGTCAGATCCATTGAACTCAGTGGGACTCCTGCATAGGATTTGAGTATATTCTTATGTATTCTTGCTTTCCAGAGTCATGCACTGGTGGCTTTGATGGGTGTTTCTAACCTCTCTGTAAGCAGAGATTCAGTCTAATTCTTTATTTTTAAGCTGTTTAAGCAATTATGAAGTGTCCTGATTACTTGACATGCAAAGTAAGGTGGGGAGAATTTTGGAATGGTAACTGGTATCATAAAGAAATGGATGTTTCACTTTCACTATGGAAATAAGTGTTGTTTTCCTTGTGTAGCTTCCAGGAAAAGTGTGCAGAACCTCAGACTAAATGTGGCCTCTTTCTTCGAACCAAGTTGCCCAGAATTTGTGCAGTTTTCCCTCATTCGAAAATGTTGAAATACACCTTAAATTAGAATATGTTGACAATACTGATCCTTTTTTTAAAGAATGGCAGCACAGAAATAGAGCCCTTGAGAGCTTCTCCAACATACAATGGGGGTTTGGGATGAAAGAGGTTCTGCACCTTTCTCTAATGGTCACAAGTGAAAAGCCTGCAGGTTCTCTAAACTTTGTTTATATACAACTTTGTTTACTCTAAACTTTACAACTTTCAGGTGTTGCCTCCTGTACTTGTTCCAGGAAGAAAGACCAGGAGAAGGATGCGGGCAGGTATGCAGAGATATGGGACATTAATGTAGAATATTATTTATTTATTTATTTATTTATTTATTTAAAACTTTTGTATGCCTTCCCTTATGCCTTGGCATCTCAGGACAGCTCACAATCCATAAAACTGAGATACACTAAAATCACATATATAAACAAACATAATTCAATAAAAAATCTACATTAATGTAGAATATGTATTAATGTAGAACATGCAATCTTTAATAAAGCAATCAACGTTGACCCAAGAGATTTTGCTATCTGAGGTAGCAAAATGGTGCACCTACCCTGACCCCATACTAGAGCCAACAGCTTTAATGTCTTGCTGCTCTATTCAGACATCAATTCCAGCTTTCAACCATCTTCTATGTCTGGAGTGCAGATTCCCAAGGCTTTAAACATGGTGGCTGTGCCAGGATACTACTCAGAGCTGGCTCAAGGCATTCTGTTTCCCTGGGTAAAGGACAAAGACACCCCCACCCGCAACCCCCCATGGCTGCCCTACATTCCACAGAGGTGAACTAGGTTGGCAGTATTTTACTTTAATAGTGATGAACAGGGCAGAAGTGTAGCAGGCTCACTTAGTGGATGCAGAACACAGCTTAGTCATCCCACAGAAGGGTTGGGTTGGGTGGGTGGGCTTGGGAAAAACTGCCAGGGGCTGCCGCCGCCACCACCCCTCCCCAACAGCTACCACATCTGCTGCCTGAGATGGTTACCTCACCCTGCCTAATGCTGTTTTTATGATGACCTAGATCTATAATTTCTTAAATGAGAATAATGGAAGGTGTGCATTTTTATTTTGAGGGCAGTGGGTATTCTTTGAGTGGTCACAGCCTGCTCATGATACTTTTGATGTGTTCTTGTTGCTCTTCCTCTGACTTGTAATACCTGC